TATAAAGATAGGTTAGGTTAGGTTAGGTAGGGTTGGTTAGTTTCGGTCAAATATCTACGTTAATTTTAACTCCAATAAAAAAAAATTGACCTCATACATAATGAAATGGGTAGCTTTATCAATTCATAAGAAAAAAGTAGAGAAAATATATTATTTCAGGAAAACTTGGCTTATTAGGCAAATCGGCCTTGCATAGTAGGCTGAGAAGTGCGTTCTGGCTACTAGGTACGATATATATATATATATATATATATATATATATATATATATATATATATATATATATATCTATAATAGATATATATATGTCGAGAAGCTGAAGCTGAAGAGAAGCTGAAGCACATGCAGTACCTGGGGTGAGGCCCTTGAGAGAATGATGACACGAAGGGGAAGACTTCTGAGCCTTCTCCTGGAAGAGAACCCTAACTGAAGACAGGCAACGCTATAGCAACCAGGTGGGTAGTAGGGAGCCACCAGGGAACCCTTCACAGAAAAGAATTAAATTGTAAAACTTTAAAACATTTTCTCATTACATATAAAATAAGTTACCTGGGTTGATGTCTCTATCAGCAATCAGGTGGCGCCCTTGGGAGTGAGTGTAGGCCAGCTTGACAGCACTGCTGAGTGACGGTATGGCTGGGTTATGGTCAGCTAACTTAGGGGGCTCAGGGTTTATATATGCAAAACATGGTTCAAAGTTGTTTAAAGCCTCAGCTGAAGCATCGAATGCCTTGTCTTTACCCTCTGATATTAATTTCAGACAAATACTTTTCCTGTCTAATAATTTTCTACGTGACTGTACACAGCCAAGTTGCAGAGCCCGGTCAATGTCATCTGAGCATTTTGTATACTGCTTCAGGTCATAAAGCACAACAGATCGTGACTCATAAGCTTGGGCCAATTCTTCATACTTGTCTTTGCCAGGGTTCTTAGGACTATCTGTGATTGTGTCTGGATGTGGTGCAGATAATATGGCCAAATTATAAGAGCTTAATGCCTGAACTAGATCATGAAGGCGGTAGGCTATGTCTCCCTGTCTACAATGTCCATAAGACTCATCTTTTGACTTCTTTGTTGGGTGCAGAACTGGCGTTAGAGTTGCATGGGCTTCATCTAGGCTCCACAAATAAGAAAACATTTCCTCAGTTGTGTGTTCTGGCCTCATTATAGTCATAACGTCAGACATCTTGTTGCTGAGCAGCAATCTGCTAATGAACTCTCTGTGAAGAGATTCAATATTGACTTGAGCCATGATGATGTTTTAAACTTCCAGGAAGTAGGATTCATTAAGATCTGAAAATAAGGAATTCTATTAACTGTGCTATATAATTAATTGATTTTCTTCCAAAAAATTAAAATGAGTGCATTATAGTATAAGAAAATTATTTACATATTTAAGAAATTAAATACTATATACCAAAGGTCTCAAGGTGGACCTACAATTACCAAAAGAAGCACAAGGTAGGAAACTATGAAGATGAAATTAGGTACTCTCTGGTTTTTACTTTTGAATAAAGCATTGGTTGGACAATTGTTTAATTCATCAGGGAGTGAGTTCCATGGACTGGGTTCTTTTATTTGCATGGAGTGTTTGCACAAATTTAGTATGACTTGGGATATCAAAGAAATATTTTTTCTGGCGTGCTCATGGGTTCTATTACACCAATCAACGAAAAAGTTTCAGATCATAATAAAAAAATTATTCAAAAGACTGTGTACAAAGAACATGATAGTTATGTACAATTATAGGTACAGGAGTTACACATACTCCTATATATATATATATATATATATATATATATATATATATATATATATATATATATATATATATATATATATATATATATATATATATATATATATAAATATATATATATATATATATATATATATATATATATATATATATATATATATGTATATATATATATATATATATGTCGTACCTAGTAGCCAGAACTCACATATATATATATATATATATATATATATATATATATGTCGTACCTAGTAGCCAGAACGCACTTTTCAGCCTACTATTCAAGGCCTGATTTGCCTAATAAGCCAAGTTTTCCTGAATTAATATATTTTCTCTAATTTTTTTCTTATGAAATGATAAAGCTACCCATTTCATTTTGCATGAGGTCCATTTTTTTTTATTGGAGTTAAAATTAACATAGATATATGACCGAACCTAACCAACCCTACCTAACCTAACCTAACCTATCTTTATTGGTTAGGTTAGGTATGGTAGCCGAAAAAGTTAGGTTAGGTTAGGTTAGGAAGGTTAGGTAGTCGAAAAACAATTAATTCATGAAAACTTGGCTTATTAGGCAAATCGGGCCTTGCATAGTAGGCTGAGAAGTGCGTTCTGGCTACTAGGTACGACATATATATATATATATATATATATATATATATATATATATATATATATATATATGTCGTACCTAGTAGCCAAAACGCACTTCTCAGCCTACTATGCAAGGCCCGATTTGCCTAATAAGCCAAGTTTTCATGAATTAATGTTTTTTCGTCTACCTAACCTACCTAACCTAACCTAACCTAGCTTTTTTTGGCTACCTAACCTAACCTTACCTATAAAGATAGGTTAGGTTAGGTTAGGTAGGGTTGGTTAGGTTCGGTCATATATCTACGTTAATTTTAACTCCAATAAAAAAACATTGACCTCATACATAGTGAAAAGGGCAGCTTTATCATTTCATAAGAAAAAAATTATAGAAAATATATTAATTCAGGAAAACTTGGCTTATTAGGCAAATCGGGCCTTGCATAGTAGGCTGAGAAGTGAGTTCTGGCTACTAGGTACGACATATATATATATATATATATATATATATATATATATATATATATATATATATATATATATATATATATATATCCTGTTCCAGGAGGATGATTTCCCGCCGCTCCCTGTTGGGGTGGATTCCGTGGGCGAGGATGTTGACGTCCCGTTGGCTGCTGCGGCTTCCCCTGCGTCGCCCAGCAGTCCTCCTGATGGTGCGGCTCCTCCTCCGGGTGTTCCGGTGCCATCGGCTGATCTTCCTGCCCCTGTCGCTGTCACAGCTGCTCCCGGGGGTCTTCCAGATAGTCTCTGCGTGTCGTCGACGTCTTCGTCTTCCTTGTCTCCTGCTGCTGCATCTGGCCCTGCGCCTTCGCTGGGTGTTTCGGCTGAGCTCGGTGCTGGGGGGGCTGTGGAGCGTCCTGTAATGTGCGGCCCGGTTCCCCCTGCAGTTGAGGCTGCTGCCGTCATGCGACGGGCATCGGTTCGCACGGCTTGTGAAGCCCGTGGTTCTGGGTCAGCCTCTGGCTCTGAGGTTGTGCGGCCGGAGCCCAAACGGTCCAGGCGATCTTCTACTGCTTGGGCTGATGTGCGGGATTTCGACGCCAGTGGGTCTTCAGGCGATGATGTGGTAGATCGCGAAGCACCCGGATCCAAGTCAATGGTGGTTGCTGACGTCCATGTGCCTGCTGATGACGACGATTGTGCATATGATTCACCTCATGTTCTTTCTTCTGCAGAAGCTTTTCCGCAGTGGGGTGTGGTCACTCAAATGGACGTAGGTGGTGAGGGTGCTGGTGCGGGCCACGACCTTGTGTTGTTGCTGAGGAAGGATGTTCGGCGTGGGGGGCCCCTGCAGATGACCCGTCCGGTGGCTGCCGCGGAGCCCTGTGGATCTGCCAAGGAGACTGCTAGTGCGCTGCCCGTTGCCCGGCCCCATGGGGGAAAGCCCCTACCAATCGTCTTGGCCTCCGGCGTAGCGTATGATAGGAAGAATAACCCTTTGTCGTTTTACTTTGTTGACCGCGTGCAGCCTGTTCCGTGGTGCCCCTCGACCGTCTGGGTTCCGCAGGCTCGGTGTTTTGTTGTGGGTGTGCCGGACTTGATGCCTGATCCTCGTACGGCCCATGCTCACCCTGTTCCGGACAACATCATGTTGCTTGGGGAGGGGTATTGTATTCGTTTCCCGGCGGCGGAGTGGCCGGGGAAGTATGAACAATCTGAGTAGTTTGTATGATTGCTGTGTCTAGTGTATGCATGGAACCTGTGGTATTTTCTGCTATGCGTTTTATTTCTTGTGCGCCATTCAAGCCGGTGTTATTTTTAGTTTTGTCAATGTCCCTGTTTATTGTGTTCCTTACATGCTTTAACATACTTTGTGTGTAGCTATACCATTTACTGCTTCTCTGTTCCTTTGATTATGTAATATGTGCCCCTCTGGCTATGATGTTTGCCCTGGTGTGTTCTGTGCTTGTGCATCTCCTTTTATTTCTTGCACTGCAAGTGGTTAGTTGTACATGTTATTTTTATTGTTTGTGTTGTTATTGTGCCAGGTATGGCTTATGTTTCTGTTTCTTGGCTTGTTGTATATTTTATGATTTTATAATTTTGTATTTTTATGTTTCTTTTTTGTTCTTTGTTCTCCTTATGCTTTCCCTGTGTGTTATGATGTTTGTTTGTTTTGTTTCATGTGTTATTGTCTTTTGTGTATTGCTAGCCTGTTTACACTATTTTTGTCGGAAAATCCGACACCATTTAATATATCATACAGACAGATAAGAGCTGTGTTGTATAAACAAGTTACCCATAGAAAACGTAACTTGTAGTGGAATTACCGTCTATAGAAAACGGGATATCATCACCACATACTATTATAATTCACCAGCTATTCTGCTGGGAATTATTCTTAATACATTAGTCTTTGGACTTTACCATCATAAAAACATCTTATATAAATTAACTTATTATCAATATTAAAGTAGAGTAAATGTGACCCTTCTATCACTTTCTGAAATCTGGACAAAGTAGGCCAGGCGTCAGAGTGGGGAAGGAGGCAGCCATTGTTGTTATACGAGACCAGAGGCTCACACGGGAGCAAATT